TTCTGTTTATTTAGATTTTTTATTTATTTCAACGTTTTGTAGTTTTTAGAACACATATATTTACTTTTATTAAGTTTATTCCTTTGTGTTCCTTTTGATAGTAATATATATGTAATTATTTTCTTAATTTCATTTTAGGTTATTTGTTGATAGCATATAGAAATATATTAGGTTATTGCATATTGCTCATGTGCCTTGCCAGCCTGCTGAAGTGTTTAGTTTTAATTTTTTAGTGGATTCCTTGAGATAGTCCATATATAATATTACAGGCATTTACAAGTAAGGATAGTCTTACTTCTTCCTTCCAACCAGAATGCCTTTGATTTCTTTTTCTTGCCTACAGCAGGAATTGTAGCACAGGGCTGAGCAGAAGTGTCAGGGTGAACATCTTGTCTTCCTTCAGCTCAGAGGAAACACAGCTCTCACCGTTCTGTGAGCTGTGGGCTTTTAGCAGGTGGAGGAGTTTGTTGAATGGCGGTGGCACAATGGAGGGTTGGATTTTGTCAAATGGTTTTTCTGTGTCTGTTGAATGGATCATGTGACTTTGTCCCTTCTTTCATTGATCTGGTAGAGGTGGTAGGCAGTGCTCCCACCTGAAGATAACCAAGTGTTTTTGTTGTTGTTGTTGTTGTTTTGGTGCTGGGGATTGAACTCAGGACCTTGCGCTTGCAAAGCAGGTGGCAGAACCACTGAGCTAAATCCCCAGCAATAACCAAGTGTTAATACCCAGAGCCTGTGAGCATGCTACAGTATGTAAAGTTGCAGATGGAATTAAAGTTGCTAATCTGGTTGTGTGTGTGTGTGTCTGTGTGTGTGTGTTCCTGGTGATCAAACCTGAGGCCTTACATGTGTAGGCAAGCCCTTGACCACTGAGCTACACCAGCCAGCCCCTAGATGACCTCAGCATAGGGAGGCTGCCCTCATCTGTCTCATTGGGGCCGGTATGATAATAAGGATCACATGAAAGGATGAATGAAAGGGTGAAGAGAAGCCTCACAGATGGCAGCACACAAGGGCCACTTCCAAATGCTGCTCACTTTGCATAGGTGGGAGTGGAGGAATGTGGTAGTGCCTAGCATGAAAGGGTCAAGTGGATTCTCCTGCAGAGCCTTCAAAAGGGGATGCAGACCTGTCCAAGCCTGATTTTGCCCAGTGAGACCCATCTGGAAACTCTGTCCTTCAAAACAGCTGGGCATGGTGGCTCACACCTGTAACACTAACACTCAGGAGAATGAGGCAGGAGGATCACCACAAGTTTGAGGCCAGCCTGGGCTGAAAAATGAGTTCAAGGCTAGACTGAACTACATAGTGAGACCATGTGAACAACAACAATAATAAATAAACGTGCTGTTTTAAGCCACTAAATTGATATTTGTTCCTAGAGCAATAGGAAATGGACACAGTGGATTATATTAATTGACTTTCACATGTTAACCCAGTTTTGCATTCTTGGGGTAAATCCCAGTTGATCCTGCAGTGTGATCCTTTCTATAGCTGCTGGGTGTGGCATAATATTTAGTTGACTGTTTTTAGTCTATCTCCGTCTATTGCTTTCTTTTTTGTGGTATCTTTGGATTTGAGGTCAGGATAATATTGGCCTCACAGAATGAGTTGAGAAAAGTCCTATTCTCTCAGGGTAGCTACTCCAGTCTTGTTACGGTGGTCATTTGCATTGTGTCTTTGTCCATATTTTTACTTTCAGCCTATTTGATTTTCCGATTGGGAGTTTTTTTGAGGGGCATGCACATGAAACAGGGATTGAACCCAGGGCCTTGCACAGGTTGGGCATGTGCTCTACCATGAGCTGTCTATCACACTGCCTGAAATCTGTGTTTAATTAAGATTTTCTGGTTACAAGATTTCCACTGTGATAAGCAGTGATATTTTTATGACCATCAGTGAACCTTTGTTTGTTATCATACTATTGCTTTTTTTAAAAAAATTATTTAGGGCCAGGGATTTAGCTCAGTAGTTCTGCCGCCTGCCTTGCAAGCGCAAGGATCTGAGTTCAATCCCCAGTACCAAAAAAAAAAAAAAATTATTTAAACCTTTGTTAAATGATGATAATTCCCATTTTTATATACTCTCTAGCTCTCTTGCTTTTAATAATTGTTAGTACTCTTGTTTAAAATAAAAATTAGCAACCATCTACATTGAGCCCACTTTTTTATTTCTACTGGCCAATGAAATCTGTAACTGAACTGGAGTTCCCATGACTAGGTTGGAGATATGCCGCACCCACTACATAGTTTGTATATAGGGAATGCACGTCATACTTATGAAAAAAAATTTAAATAACAAAGTTCTTCATAAGTAGTATTTAATCCAGAAATACAACAGATATTTTGGTATTTTTGGCCACTGCAAAACAAAAGCTGTAGCATCAGGAAGTCTGAGATGTCTCACTTTTGTAATTCCAATGAGTGTATCTAAAGTTAGATCACATTGACATCAATTTTTTTTTTTTTTTGGCTTTTTTGAGGCAGAGTCTCCCTTTGTAGTTCAGGCTGGCCTGAACTACACAGCCCAGGCTGGCCTCAAACTCTTGGTGATCCTCCTGCCTCAGCCTCTCAAGTGCTGGGATTACAGGCATGCACCACCATGACATCAAAATTTTTAAGGATAGGCAAATTTCACATTTTTAAAAAACTTTCTGTTTCCATTTGCAATAACAGTAGTCAGTGTGATTCCAGAAGTTAGTATTTCACAACATATGACTTCCATTTGGCACATAACTTCAGTTGCCAAACTGATTCATACATAATAACATGCAAGCCTTTAAAAAAGAATGTCTGTGTATGTGGATGGCATTTTCAAGGACTCAGACCATCTCTTAAGTTGCCCCAGTGTTTCCTTTGACTCGCCCTAGAAAGGACCATTGTCTGACTTCATGGAAAGGATTTGTCAGCTCGCTGGTCTGCAGCTAAGACAGTGCCTGCTGTCCAAGGCTGGAGGGACCATAGGGAGGAGGAGGTGAGGGCTTCCCTGCCATCAGTCGCTAAAACTTTGGGCATCTTAGGAAGTGAGCCAGTGGCAGTCTCCTGTCATCTTCTTTCCATGTGAGTTGTGGGGAGATTTCCTTGTAACCTGAACTGATTGAGAAAAGGTAAACTATAGGTTAGTTATTAAGGTAGGTGAAGTAGAATTAGTTATGCATTCCTTTAAGATTTACCTTTCCTGTAACTCTTGTTGTTTAAGGTGATGGCTAACTGACCCTTTGACCTGTAACCTAGCTGTAGATAACATTTAACCTGGAGAAAAACAAAGAAATGTTTGGGTAGTTTACAATGTATGTGTTTTAAGTCCCATCTGTTTGTTATGTCTGTGACTATAACCATCAACGGGAACTAGTTGTAGAAGGGAAACAGAAATTTTACTAAGACCACCAGGAATGTGGTAATGGCTAAAAGAAGATATAAAAGGAAATGTTAAAAGAAAGGACAGCTCAGACATTGATCAGACGAGTTTCTGGTAATCCTGCCCACTTGCAAGTAAAGGTTTTGGTTTTTTCACCCAAATTCTGTGTCTCCGTGCATTTCTTTCCATGATTCCAGAACAGAATGAGTTGGTGAAAGCTCGATCTATATTCATCTTCATCTTTGCACCACCTGTGTGTCACAGCCAGCGTTCCACTCACTGCTGTCCTCTCCATGTCATTGGCCTTTGATGATCCAGCTCCCGCTTATCACCAGCTAAAATCATTGGAAGCTCATCAGCATCCTTTGTGCTGAGAATCTGTCTCTGAAACAGAGATTTCATCAAATCGCCTCTGACCATCACTGAAAAGACCAACAAGTGGCTTCCCAGGTCCTCACACACCACATTGCCATGGCTCCAAACACTTCCTATCCAGCTTCGTGCAGGACACCTAGTGAGGCTGCTGTCACATGACCTGTGCAGGAGTCTCCAGTGGTGGGCTTTGACCGTTACACAAGAGAACTGGATGGATGGATGGTGGGTGCCACTGGCACGACCCCACCAACCACCAAGAGCCTGTGTGCCTCCTGCTGGACCCACCACCAGCTTAGGGACCGCAGAGTCCACCTGGGGACAGGCACACCAGCGGCTCCACTAGGCTTCGCAGCAGCACATGCAGCCTCCAGCAGAACTGTTAAATAAAGGATTTCCAAGTAATATGTTACCAAGATTTTTGCTTTAATGCAGATTTTTTTCCAGTACTGACATTGAACCCAGGGGACCATGTGCGACCCAGGCCAGGATTCTGCTGAGATGCATCCCTGGTCCTTTATTTCAGATTTTAAAGCACTTTCTAAAAAGAGAGGGGAACCATATAAAAACCACTGCTATTCCTTGTAAAAACTCTAAAACCATCTAAATGCCCAATAATACACTTTGCTTAAAATTTAATGTGTTCACATAGTGGTCACCCACCAAAACCTCTGGTCTAAAAGAATATTATATGGCCCGGGACTATTTAGCTCAGTGGTTTTGCTGCCTGCTGCACAAGCACAAGGACCTGAGTTCGATTCCCAGTACAAAAAAAAAAAAAGTATCATACGGAAATGAGAAATGGATGACTGTAGATCAATTTACCACACTCAGGGACTGCCCTGTCCTCCCCTGGCCAGGCTGGTGCCTCCAAGGGCTCAGCAGAGCTGCTGACTTCCTGTCCCGCCCACCCCTCCTTCAGGACCTGTCCGTCAGCACTCATGCACCATCTGTGTCCTGCAAGGGCCTGGAGGATGTGAAGCAAATCAGTGGTGTGGCTACACTGTGATTCTCTGGTTGGTGAAATTATGATAAATTTCAGAGAAAACAACATATGCTTGTGCCTTAAAATGTTGCAGCGATATGTGTACTATATCTAATAGTGAGGGCTTCCATTAATTAATTACTAATGGGCTATTTGGTTATGTTATACTTTATATATCATGTTACTTAATTCTTTAACTGTGAGACAATAATCCCATTTACAAATGGAAATATAAAATATCTTTGATTATTGTGAATTAATATGCAGTCATTATTGTCTTTTATAGATCATGCGCGAGAAATCCTGGAGCAGAAATTCTTGGGCCCAAACAAACTAAAGCAGGTGATGTGGACGGTGTACATTGATGCTCACAGAAGCTAAGCAGAGCCGCACTTGAGGGCTCATCGCAGCTGGATTCCAGGAAACAGGCGAGAGAGCTTTACTTTCCATTGACTTTAACGCTATTTTTCATTGTCTTAGTTCAGCTGTAACTCTCAGAGGTATCAGCTAAACCCTAGCGTACACCTTTGTGCTCTGAAGTTACCCATTTTGATACTGTTAGTACGGGGCATTGTTCTCACAAGGTGAACCCAGCAGTGAACTCTTACCTGCTTTGAGCCAGGGGAGACTAGTATGGTTTCTGAAATTAAAAAGTTTCAACTTATGCTTTCCTTCAAAGTTTCCTTCTCCTAAGAGTAGGCATTTGAACTGTTGTAAGAGAAATTTAGGTGTGTGGATAAACTTTAGGAGAATTATAAATAAAGTTATTTCTAAAGCGTAATTACCTTCTGCACTATTTTCTGGCTCTTACCTTCATGAAGTATTTAAATGCCTATTTGCCAAAAGCAAAGCTGAACATGCCTGTTGATTCTTCATAAGATTTATATGTTTTTGTTTCACTGCAAGAAATAGTAATAATTGACAACATTCAGCCTTAGTGATTCAGCATATAAATATTACTGGGGCTCTTGCCCAGGCATGTATTTCATTGATTTTTATGGCTACCTTTCCCAAACATTTTATTCATCTATGAGCTTTCTTCTTTAGCAAAACTATATTTAGAAATGTTGCTGGGTGTGGTGGTGCATGCCTGTAATCCCAGCATGTGGGAAGCTGAGGCAGGAAGATCGCTGGTAGTTTGAGGCCAGCCTGGATCACACATTGATCACACAAGGCCAGCCTGAATTATATAGTGAGATCCTGTGTCCAAAAAAAAAGAGCCGGGGATTTAACTCAGTGGTGCAGCCACCTGCCTCACAAACACAAGGTCCTGAGTTTGATCCACGGTACCAAAAAAAAAAAAAAAGAAGAAATGTGTAAATATAAAATATCATTACAGAAATTGTTTCCAGAAGCTCTATTGATTTTACATTGTAAAATAAGGTCTCACTTTTCAAATAATTCTAGGAACTATAAAATTACCCAATGCAGACTATGCTTCAGCTACCTCCAAATTTAAGCATACTGCTTGTGCCATTGGTCTAATTGGTGCCTTTTTTTGATACTGAGCCATTTTTTGTGTTTTTTGAGACAGGGCCTCACTATGTAGTTGAGGCTCACCTTAAACTCAGTATGTAGCCCAGGCTAGCATCAAACCCACAGCAATCCTCCTGCTTCAGCCACCTGAGTGCTGGGATTACAGGTTTGTGTCACCAGCCCAACCAAACTTTTTTATTATTACTTCTTTAAATTTTTGAGACAGTCTCACTAAGTTGCCCAGGCTGGGCTCAAAATTGTTATCCTCCTGCCTCAGCCTCCCAGAGTGCTGGAATTATAGAACATACACCAACATGCCCACTGGTTCTTTTTTTTTTTTAATTTACTTTTTAAATTTTTATTAGTACGTTTACAGTGCATAATGATTAATTCATTGTGGGGAATTGGTACATGTATATAGCACATCTCAATTCTTTTTTTCTCCTCCCCTTTTTTTACCAGCATTAGATTCATTTATTTATAAGTCTGTATATTTATTACCCTACATACAGATCAATTGGTACTTTTTTTTGTTTTTTGGAGACAGGGTTTTGCTATGTAGGTGAGCCTGACCTTGAACTCACTATGTAGCCCAGGCTGGCCTCGAACTCATGGCAATCCTCCTGCCTCAGATTCCCAAGTGCTGGGATTTCAGGTGTTCACCACCACATTCTTAAAGATTTATTTTACCTCTAGTGTAGTAAAAACCATGGAGAATACAGTACAGTAAATTTCTTGAACATGACTGGGGGAAGGGCTACATTATGCAGCTGTATTTCCTGTGCTTACTTTGTAAGTGTGGGATCTATTGCTTGCATGTACAGTGGGGTGCTTGCTTTGGCAGCACATATACTAAAATTGCATGTACAGTGGGTAAGGCCTGTGCTGTACAGGAGACCTTCCAGCTGAACAAGCTACTCCTCCAGCAGGACCTGGCTCTGGAACCAGTCCATGTAAATTATAATTCATGAATTGTGAAGTTAATCTCTAGGAAGTGCAGTGCCTGGTGAGAAGCAACTTTCATCCCAGACATGCACAATGTTCAGATCAGAGAAAAATCCCATTCCTCCCAGTCTATTCAATACGTAAATTTTTTCTAAAGACAAACCAATAAAATTTAATATTTAGTATTTTACCAAGTCTTTCCCCCTCTTTGTGGAAATCAGATTCAAGATCTAAGGTGTGAGCTTCTCAGGCCTAAGCATTCTTTTCTCCTTAACAGAAGCCAGAACGCAGGGTGAACTTTAGCCACAGCCCAGCTCACTGGGGAGAGGAGCCCCACTGAGCGCCTCCAGCCCAGTGCCTGGGCATCATCGAGGTTTGCTGGGGGGAGCCCAGAGCAAATCGGGCAGGGTCCTTACGGGAAGGAGGACAGGAAACACCCAAAGCTAGAACTAGGGGCAGTGAAATTCTCTTTCGGAAGCGATGGAGAAGGCAGGAGGCTCAGGAGTCCAAGACCATCCTGTTACAGGTCATTCCTTTAGAATGCCTTGCCAACCAGAGGTATTCCAGGTCCTTTTTGCCTGGATACCAGAACCAGGCATCTGTCTTTTGTCCTTCTACAGCTTATACAGGGTTTGCAAGCACGAACTAGTACAGAAGCAAAGCAGTTGATTGGTTACATATGATATTATTACTGATTGGTCTATGGCAAGTTCAAACTCAGGTTAGAAAACATTAATTTAGGGAAAGGTCGGCTAGATAAGGAAGACACCTATTTGGAGTATGCATCAGTTCAGGGTAGTCTGCCAAGAAGGAATTTGCTTGGGCTGAAAAATAAAACTGCTCACGGCAGACATTATCCTGGACCTGGTGTCCCGCCTGTCTGCCAGCCGTATTATCTTTCTGTCCCAGCAGCAGCAGGTCGCAGTGGCACTGGCAGACAGAGGAAGAGTTAGAGACCCTTGTGCCCGTCCTCACCACCAGCACCAAGCCTCCGTGAGGCACCTGATGGCCTGAGAGTAGGGCTGTATCAGAAATGCATCATACAGAGTAGGTGACATTCAAGGACGGGCTCAAACCCTGGCCAGACAAGGAGTCCTGAAGGTAGATATCGAGGTATGTCCTTGGCAGCATTAACAGGTTAGGTAGGGAGTTATGTTGTTGGCCTCGCTAGCAAGAAAATATGTGCTTACAATAACCATTCATTACAGACTACAGAACTTGGGAGTTATTAACTCCAATTTCAGGTTAACCCATACCACACATTTTTTTTAATCCCCACCCCTTCCTATTACTCTCATTTTGAGACAGGGTCCCACTAAATTGCTCGGGCTGGCCCCAAACTCAGCCCCCTGAGTAGCTGGGATTACAGACACGTGCTTATTCTTAGCCGATCTAACAGGACAGAGTTGGTTTGGAGTGTAGTTGCATGAGCAGTGTCCGACGCTCGGCTCCGCGGGGTGCAGGGAGGACCTGGTGTCCAGCACGCAGGGACCGGCTGGGAGCACCGTCTGGGGCGTTCGCGCTCCCGGGGCGGTGAGCGCGGTGTACTGGAAGAGTGGACCTGGTCCCTTGTGTCCTGCAGACAGGAGCTGCCGGAAACGCTGTGACCCTGGGCCGCCCTGCCCCGGCGGGTCGGCGCCCGCGCTCCTCCGCCCCTCCTGGGCGCCCAGGCTCCGCCAGACTCGGCCTCGGCCAGCCCGGGCCGCCCCCGGCCGTCCTCTGCTCGCGGCTCCTTTCCTGCCCGCCGGCCCTCCGCCCTCCCGGGTCACGCCGCCAGGTCTGGAGATCTCGGTCCGCACCCCTAGGCCGGCGGCAGCCTCCCCCGCTTCATCCGGGCGGAGAACAGGACGTGAGGCCGCAATGCGGGGCGACCCCGGACTCCCATCTCGGCGCGGCCCAAGCCCGGGGATCTCGAGGCTGCGGGCGGAATAGGCGGAGCTTCGGCAGCCGCCACGGCCACGCCCATCGGGCCTGTCGGCCGGGCCCGGCCCGGCGCCCTGAATCTGGTAGGAACGTCGCTCACCGGTATTTCGGAAATTCGTGTGGTCAGAGTTTAAAAGTCTGCCCTTCGAGTTTAATTGCGGATGTTTTTGGGTTTGGTCATGAACACAGAATGACTTACCCTGTCCTATGTTGCTGCGTTAATTAAATGGCTCACAGATCCCAGCTGCTAAGGACTTGCTTCCTTGATTGTATTTGTTCTTGATTCCTCTGATACATAGCTTTTTAAAAGAAAAAATTTTTTTTAGCATTCTCTTCTTTTGAAGTACAGTCCAAACGTAAAAATATATACTTTTAGTTTTTATGTTTGAAAACCACCTGGTTAAAACTTGACTAGAAAAGCGTTTCTTTTTTTACAAAAAAGATGTCAAGGATAACATTAAATTTGGGGCTGATATAATAAAAGCTTTTTATTGTTTTTTAATATACCAATAGATTATTTTAATTCCCTGTTGATTCCTTTGAATAGCTTTGTTGTTGTTTTGTTTTTGCTACCAGGTATCAAACTCAGGACCATCCCCAACCCTCATTTGAATAGTGTTTGTTTGTTTGTTTTTGGTACCGGGTCGAACTCCGAACTCCGGACCTTGCACTTTCGAGGCATTTGAATAGTTATTTAAGTCTCCTAACAAGCCTAGTGTGGTGGCACACTGCTGTAATCCCAGCACTCAGGAGGCTGAGACAGGAGGATCACTGCAAGTATGAGGCCAGCCTGGGCTACACGGTGAATTCAAGGCCAGTTTGAACTGCGTCAGATTCTATCTCAGAATACAAAACAAAAACCAAATCTCCTAACAGGAGTTTTCCTTTTTGTTCAAAAGTAATTTTTCCAGTAAAGAGCCCTAAAGTTTATGGCAATATAGCTTATATTATATACTGCATTTTGCAAATGTATGACTAAGTACCCTGAAAACAAAATAATAGCGGATGCTGAAAATGTTGAGTTTTTAGGAACACTTGGTGGTTGCAGGCCCAACCACGCCTGGTTGTTAGAGTGGACAACATTTTTGCTTTTGGATTCCTCTTGCTGACTTTTCCCCAATTCTCCATCCGGGACATGTTTTCTCTTTCTTTTAATCCGGGTGTGCTCTAGGTCATACGGATGCTGTCAGGGAAAGGAAATCTGTTAGAGATCCTGGGAGTGGCTCCTGCTGCTTAGATGAGTGGGCCTCAAGGGTCCTGGCCAACCATGCAGACAAGAGAGGATGTCCTACTTAAAACATAAAGCTCTTCTTCCCCCAGGACAAATGTGTCAGACACTTCCGTGTGGCCACCTACTGCCTGTGCACTCTGGCATGTAATCGTGCAGTGTTCAGTGGAATAAGACCCAGGCAACTCTGGGCTGAGCTGAGGATGCAG